TTGAATTTCACTTGAACGAACGGGATAACTATTTGAAATCCACCAAATAAATATTGGAATCTACCAATTAATTGAAAAACTGAATTATTTTTAAAACCTTAACACATATTTGTAGATTATTTTTAAACAGACTCAAAATATAAAAACACTAAAATAGAGCTCTAATCGATGGAATTTGGCCCCAAAAGTTTGACAAAGTCATGATAAGGATCTGGATGTGGTTCGTTTGACAGCTTCAAATGATGCACCAGCTTCTTCGTGATTAGATTCTCACAATTGCAACTGTCTATAATCATACTGCAAATATTGTCATTGCCCTGAAAGATCTTTTCACGCTGAGTTATATCTTCTTGATTGAGCGAGCACAAGATTTTCTACACATTAGATACAAACTTCCTTTTTCTTCTCCACAGGCTTCATCAATATATTCTTCTTCTTCCTTATCTCTTACATTCAATTCGTTTTTTTCTACTGCAAGTCTCCTGTTATTTTCTCTCCGAACTATAGGCTCCACGATTCCTTCATGGTTGATTTCCTTATTATTAAGTAGATGATTTTGCCCATTGTTTCCAACAACCTGTAACAATAATTGACGGGTCTCTCCGATCTAAGTAGTAAGTTCGTCAAGCCGCCGATTTCGAGCATCCAAATTTGCCATAATAATTGGTACGTCACCCATGAATATAAATAAAATATATAGAGACAAGAAAAGCTTGCTCTGATACCACTTGACGTAGCGCGAAACAAGGAATTTAAGCGAAATATTTAAGAATATGAAATTTGAAATCCACCAAACCAAAAAAAAAAAAAAAAACTAATGAATTTTATTAATTGAAGATAATAAAAAACAATGAATTAACTCTTTATTTATAGGGGTTTACATGAAAACATAGTTTAAACAAACTAAAATTGCAAATAATTCGAAATAAACTAAATGACAAAAATAGTATTAGAACTTTAAAAGTAGTTTTCGAGTTTTAAACGAACTCAGATGGTTAAAATCCATCGTATGTCACGACGTAGCGATGTTTTATACTCGTCTTTTAGTTCTCTTTCCGAAATAGTATTATGAGTCCAAATCGAAACTCGACTCACATACCTGCACTATTGCATTTTTTTTCCTTGTCGGTCCAATTCTTTTTTAATTCATTCAGCCATCTATCATGCATCAAATATACAATTTCAGTAAAAAAAAATTTGGCAAGTCGAAGCCTATTCATCCTTTGGTTGAGTGAGCCGGCTTACGCTTGGCTCATCCATACGCGAGCCTACTCCCCCAATTTATATGATAATAAAGTAAGCATAAGATAGCTAAAATCTCCTCATGAGATTCAAGGCAATGAACAATTATTATAAGTTAAGTGCACCATGAGATCTCAAGAAATGACAAATCTATTCACACTATAAATACTCGTGCTGGATTTGGTGTATCATTATGGGATTTGCTTTTTATATGGATTCTTAAGGATTAGATCAAGAATATTTCTTGAATGCGGCCGCCAGCCAAGATGAATATCCAAAAGGCATTATCGATGATGGCTCTATAGTGCAAGTTTGCATAAGGTTATTCTCCAGTGACAAGTTCCCACGTCACCATTCTATATGAGAACACATTTTGCTACAAGTACAGAAAAACTTTATAGAATTCTTATAGAAAAATATTTGGCAATTTTTCATTGATTTTTGACAACAAAAAAAAAAATGCACCATGAAGATGCTACCCGACGTGTAGCATTTGTATCATTTCTGTCAATAATTCCCCGTACCTATGAAATTATTTGACCAAAAATCCATTTAATTTTCGGTCCAATAATAGGCCATTAGTTCATTGTCGTAAACATGATTTAGGCCTAGGCCCATACTTTAGAAGCCTCCCTTAGTCAGTTTCAAAATGCAATTTGAATTATCTCGAGAGGAAATTATGTGAATCCCGGTCTTTAGTTTGAGG